CGATAATATATTAGTATATATTATATAATATATATTATATATATATAGTGTCTTCGTGGTTTTATATATTTATATTTATATATATATATATTTATATTTATATACACATTTATACATATATATATACACGTATATATATATATATTTATATATATATATATTTACATATTTATATATATAGTATATTTGATATATTCCGTGGCACAACCAGATTCTCACCACCAAAATAAACACAACCGGCTACCTAATACCTATACACCTATACCCTACAGTTCTGCATGAGTGGTGATAACACTCTACAGGCTGCGAAGATAGCCATCAATGGGGTGTTGGAGAAGGAGGGTGACGAGCATTTTGTGATGATCTTGTCCGATGCCAATCTCGAGATATACGGCATCCACCCCAAAGAACTGGGTCGTGTGCTGGCGAGTCATGACGAGTATGTGCACAGCCCTACAACATGCTGTGCTAGTGTGGTTGTACATGTGTAACTGTGTGTGTGAATGTATCTATGTCTTATGCTGATGTGGTTGTACGCGTGTAACTGTGTGTGTGAATGTATTTATATTGTATGCTGATGTGGGTGTACCAGTGTAACTGTGTGTGTGTAATATGCTCGTGTAGGGTGTAGTTGTACTGCGTGTCTGTTATGTATCACTCTCACTGGGCTATACCTTCCCACATGATGGTTTGTTCTGTTCACTCATCCAGCCTGTGGTATATGATTTTTTTTTGTTTAATGCAGATCACTGTCAGCAGATCACTGTCATTCTATTTATAGGTTCTAGACGCATCACTCGTTACATGTGCATGCCACCCCACCCAACCTTTTACTGTATATATCTGTTTCACTATACCTAGTCGCTGCTGTAGGGTTTTAGAGTTTAGGGGTATAAATCCGTCTGCTGGTTTTCCTTAGGCGGGCAAAAAGTTTTGTAGTTGTAGGCTTGCGTGGCGACCGTAGGCGTGGCGACCGTAGGCGTGGCGACAAGTGTATATGCACACGACTGCCTACCTTTGCATGCCACCTGTTCCATTCCAACCTTTTATTGCTTGAAATAGCTTCATCACACTTTGTAGGACTTCACCTTTTACGGCTTAAAATAGCTTCACCACACCTTGTATACCCGAGCTCTATTTCACCTAACCTGTCCCTACTCCCATTCTGTGCTGTGGTTGTTTTGCTTAGTGTCACGGCTAGTGCCATCTTCCTCGGATCATTGGGCGACCAAGCCGATCGACTGAAAGAAGGGCTGGGCAGAGGACGAGGCTTTGTCTGCATGGACACCAAAGACTTGCCCAAAATCATGCGAAGTATATTCCAGAATACGGTGTTGAAGTCTTCTTAACTTAGAGAATAAACATGCCACGTGTAAATGCGTTGTTGAAGTTTTCCTAGCTTGGACAATGAACGACCAAAGTGTAGATACAATGTTAATGTCTCCGTAGCTTGGAGAATAAACATGA